CTTCAGCTAATAAACGTCATGCCTTGACGTATTTCTTTAGCTAATAAATGTCATGTTTATTTCTTTAGCTGACAAACGTCATACACTTGACGTATTTCTTCAGCTGATAAACGTTATTCACTTGACGTATTTCTTCAGCTAATAAACGTCATGCCTTGACGTATTTCTTTAACTAATGAATGTCATGTTTATTTCTTTAACTGATAAACGTCATGTACTTGACGTATTTCTTTAGGTTAATGAATTTCACGTATTTAACGTGCTTTCTTCACTTAAAATTTATATTACATTTCACATAGGTTTATGCCATTTCTAATGCACATCGTATTATTATACATTATTACCTTTACATACGTCATATATGTAATATTAAACTTTAAAAAGGTTTTTTTTTTTTTTATTTAAAATCTTAATGATATGCATTATTAATACTTTTTAATCACTTAATGTAACATAACTTCAACGAATAGACATTAATTAAAGAGATTGAATAACAATTTCGTGAAATTAAACTTGAAATTTTAACAATAAAACCATTTCATTTCATTCTAAATGTCAATAATTTGAAACAGAAAAAAAAGCAAGTATGCAAATTTTTCAATTTTTGAAAAAAAAAGTTGCAAACTTTTTATTGCTTTAAATTTGAAAATTTTATTATAAAAATCAATTAACAATGCAAAACATTTCATTTGTATATATATTATTTTTATTTTAAAATATAATAAAAATAAAAATTATGCAAATTATTTTTTTAAATTTTTGCAAAGAAAATTTTTGATAAAAATCATAATTATTTATTTTATGATTAATCAATACTATATCCATTTAATTATCGTAAAAGAAATATTAATTGGTTTAATAAGCATATGGCAATTTATTTTAACAAATTTAATTAATTAAATTATTTGTTAAATGCTTGTAATAAATTAACAAGGATGAATTCGTTTTTTCATTTATCGCTGAAAATTTCATTCTTCTAGCAATTTTAAAAGTATTTAAAAAAAAAAAAAAAGAGTCAAGAATGGTGAGATAATCTTCAAAAGCATTTAAGTGACAATTTTAAGAGCTAATGCAAACATACTTTAAGCATCCTTGAATTATTTCACGGCAAAATGCTTCTTTACTCATTAGTTTTTTTTTTTTCTTTCAATACTTTTAAGCATTTTGCTAATTTAAAAGAAAGAAGAAACAAAAAAAGAAAAAAAAGAAAATGTAAATAGTATTAAAAATTATTTTAAACATTTATTACAAATATTTTGGATTTTATCAAATTTATCACTTCCTTTATCATTCATTAAAATTTCATTTGATTATCTTCTTGCCAAATTTATCACCTTATCAATCCTTTCCCATTTTATTTATCAGCAAAAATTTCACTTATCGCTATTTTGTTCTAATAAATTTTAGTGGATGATAAGAAAATGATAAATTTAAGCAATTAATAGAAAAAATGAATTGATAGTGAGTAATATGATATGGAAAAATTATTTCCTTCTTTTTCAATCTTTATTTTTATTCAAATTATTAAATGAATGATAAGAGAGGGATTAATTTAATCTAAAATAATTTAATTTGATTTCGTTTCGATTTTAATTTTAAAAAAAAGAATAGAAATTTCATTAACCGTTTGTGAGATGGTTGCCCATTTGGTCCAAGGTAATGTTCACTAAATTGTTGCAATGCGAAACGATTTTCAATTATTTCATCTCTGAAATATGAAAAATTAAAAAATTTCTAATTTAAAAAACTTTTTTTCCATTTTTTTTTTGCAAATATTTACTATGTTATTTCATTTCATTTTATCGCATTTTATTTCATTCCATTTCACTTCATTTCATCCCATTTAATTTCGTTCCATTTCCTTCCATTTCATTTCATTCCATTTCATTTTATTTCATTCCATTTCATTCCATTTCACTCCATTTCATTCCATTCCATTTCATTCCATTTCATTTCATTCCATTTCATTCCATTTCCATTTCATCCCATTTCACTCCATTTCATTCCATTTCATTCCATTTCATTTCATTCCATTTCATTCCATTCCATTTCATTTCATTCTATTTTATTTTATTTCGTCCCGTTTCATTGCATTTCATTTCGTTTTATTTCATTTCCATAATGTGATATAGGACAGTATTACTTGTTAATAATTATAAATAGTAAAAATAAAAATTTTTAACTTTTAAAATACCATTTCACTATTTATGAATGTTCGGTCATTTCATTTCAATAATATAATATGATAATGCTTGATAATATATTTATAAATTAAAGATAATCACTGTAAATAATAATAATAATAATAATAATAATAATAATAATAATAATAATAATAATAATAATAATAATAATAATAATAATAATAATAATAATAATAATAATAATAATAATAATAATAATAATAATAATAATAATAATAATAATAATAATAATAATAATAATAATAATAATAATAATAATAATAATATATATATATATATATATATATATATATATATATATATATATATATATATATATATATATATATATAT